GCAGTACCCAAATACTTCTTTAATAATAGCGCTGTTTATAGGTGATTGTATTGTAGTAATTCGTGCGCAGTTTCTTTCTTTGAATGGTAATACCAATCGAAACTACGTGGATCGTGCTACGCGCGTAAATGTTGTACATTTTATTTAAAAGATTAGTCGCCGCTGTCTACGCCAAATTCCTACAATATGTTTGTGACGTAAACTTTTTGGCACAATCTTGTAAAATGTGCTTATATTTGTGTTCGTTGTTAAACTACAAAATTAACAAATACGCTTTAAGAACAGCTTCAGAACCTATAATTGCAATGTTGTAATTTAGTTTATTTGTAGGTAAATTTTCACAAATAACGTTTGTTTTTTTTTTATTTCTGTAGCGTGTTCAAAGTAAACGTTACAGTTCTAGACCTTATATGTATAAAAGGGTTCAATTCATGTTTTTTTTTCATTCAAAACGGTGTTCCTTCTCTTCTTCATTCTTAATTATCACACGGCAGCGCAGTGGAAAATTAAAATATGGATTACATAAACCGATTTTCACGAATATTATATACTTTACAAACAATGGCTTTCCTAAAGGAACGTAACGTTGTTTGCTATGTCATGGAAACAAAATACCCATTACTTGCTAATCTGCACAATTCGCAGAATCAGATAATCTCAGTACGAAGTAAAAAAAAGTTAAAAAAAGTACAAAAAAAACTCAAAAGTTCGTGGAGTTACATCTATTTGCTAAGTTTTATTGAAATGGTTATAGGAAAGTACGCGAAACCAGATTCATCCCTTAATTTGCCACCCTTAGAGGTGAAATATTTTCTTCAAATTTAAATGGGACCACTACTGAGGTCTTTCCAACAAAAAAAGAATCATCAAAATCGGTTCACAAATGCTGGAGTTACCGCGTAGCATACAAACAAAAAAAACCGTCGAATTGAAGTCGATAAAAAAAGCTGTTATTAATCATCTTGCGACCTTCGGTCAGTGTGAAGTGATGTGATTAAAGGCCGGGACCTTGACAGCCAGCCCTCGAGCTTACAGAATTAATACGCATGACTCGACCATTTAGTCGAAGGCCGTGTCCTCTAACACGGTCTCAGGAGCTCAAGTGCTCAGATGAAGGCCTCTGTCAATAATGCACGCAACCGTCCGGTTGCGTATTAAGTCGATTGTGAATGAGAGTATGTATTTTTTACAAGTGTTTTGTTTTAATAATGGTCGAGAGACGAAGATAAATCATACTACGAAGCTACTTTGAGTCTTATTTATTATTCTCTATACAACAGATGTGAAAAGTTTAGTTCATGAATCATGACTATAAAGGAGACGTGTTCAATCTGGGATCAAAAGGTCGCAGCCCACCACTGGCACTGACACTCGCCTACGTCATACTTAGCATTCTCATAGGGAAAATAACGTCCCACAGCAATACAAACATACCGCCCACAAGTACTATATAACCTTTTCTCACGAAAATTTACCCAGACGAATCGTTGTTTACAAAAGTAGTTGTTGTTATTGTACGTCCATTGGTAAAGAAATTCAGATCCATATTATGAGAAATGGAAAATATTACGAAATGGGAAATAAAATAAAAACCTTTATGAATAATAAATAAAACCTAATAAAATATGTTGACGGTCGTATTAACCACTCGTTTATCCTTAAACAAAATTTTCATCAAAGGGAGCTGGAACATTTGTAAACAAGACAAAATAACAGCCATTATGAACAACCGATGTCTGGACGGGACAATATAATTCATTCACCAGCTACACGTGAAGATCGTCACGTGATCATTTGGGGCAATTTGACCACTAAGTACTTTAAGTACACTAAGTACGTTGTTTGAGTATTAAGCGTGTACGTCACGGAGAATGGAGTTTAAAACTTTATTTGAAAAAGTATATTTTTCGGCGGCACCGGCGAGGCGCGACTGGAGCAATTATGAGGCGCCGCAATAAATATACTGGCGGCGTCGATGTCATCAACGTCATTGATGCACAATATTGCCCACAGGCCCATTTTTCCGCGATATAATTTACAATTTCCCCAAAATATTTATTTATGTTTTTATAAACACTGAAATAAACTCAAAATACGCACTGGGCTTTTGTAAATACAAGAGTCAAGGACAATTATCAAAATTGTTATCCATTATCACTCACTACTAACGACATCTGCACTTCCATGTAGGAAATTCTAAAAGGCAATAAACGCAGTTGACGAACTCGGTAGCCCAACGGTTTATACTATGGACGCTGGATGAGGAGATCCCGGTTCGATTCCCGGTGAAATCTAATTGGGAAATTAAGTTTTCTACCATTTCAGTACAGAAAAAAGCGACCTCAAAAGTCATCCATCCCCTAGTTTGCCACCCTTCGAGGTGGAATATTTTCATCAAAATTTTCCAACAAAAACCCTCTTTTCAACAAAAAAGAATCATCAAAATCGGTTCACAAGCCGGAGTTATCGCGTAATATACGTATAAAAAAAATAAGAAAATACAGTCGAATTGGTTTAAAAATGGTTCTGGTGTGGGGTTCCGAGTGAATTCCGTTGTTCTGGTACTCATAGTACAGGGCATTCCTTATGTTGACACCGGGCAATTGGTGTGGTTGTCTGGCACATTACTATAGTAAGACTTTTACAAAATAGTTAAGCGTACCTTACACGTAGATCTATAGGTGAATGTTGAATTTATTGAGAGTAAATTAACCAGAAATTGAATCCGATTATACATATTCGTTTATTCGTACACTCACATTTGGATGAATTATGCCTCCACGTGGATTTCCTACACGTTTGAGTAAAACGTATCTTGTTTGAATAATATTATTGCTGCGTCGACATCGTGGCAATATATAAAACGAAATATTGTTTTTCATATTTAAAAACTTGTGAAAAGGTGGTTATAAATATTACATAATGCAAATATAATAAAATCTCTTCAGGAAACAGGCGGTTGTTGGATGAATGTTTTATATAACATGATGTTTTATAGTTATATATTACCGTGTGACGCAACGGTAATGTTTTCCAATTTGTTTTTGGGTTTCAAGGACTCGGATATTATATAAACTGTTTCCAGTTCTGTGTCAGCTTGTTACACGAACATAAGTTTGTGAATGGAACTAGTCTTCAATGGGTGCTATAAATAACCTAGAGCTGAAAGTGTGCAACGTTTGAAATTGAGGGATTTGGTCATATTTACTCTAAAAGAAACCCACAGTACTTCAGTCATGATATACGCCACTGTCCCGAAAGATCCAGCTATTGAACAGAAAAGACAAGCGTCAAAAAGATGTTCAAGTATATTATATACACGGGATATTAAAACTACATTTAAAAATACTTTAAAAAATTTTTTTTTTTAATTGTGTGTAAATAATGCCACTCGATCAGCCAAGTTGCTATTAATAATGTATTCCGAGACTGGCAGCATCTTATTGTTGTCAAGATGTCAACATTTTGCGCAGATGTTCTATTTTTCTCACAGAGTTGGCCACACGCAAGGATATTATACAAACACACTTTTTCACGTTTTAAACAACTTTCCCGTCCAATAACAATACTATTACACACAACACTCACACAATGAGTGATATAAATTGTTTTCGTTAATTATTATTAACTAAAGTACATATATAATTTACTAAAGTATATGCAAAGGTCGACGTCTACGACGGGTTATTCAACCACCAGTGGGCAGCTGCTGACGCAGCCACAGACTAAAAATATGTACAATTGAACACGCTTCATTATTACTCAGTTTTCTCTAATGATGTTCTGCTGATTTCTATCAAGGCCAAAGTATGTGCTAGAAAAATAAGCAGTTTATTTCAAAGAAATCGGTTAGTAAAATGTAGGAAAGCCAGGCACCACTCAACTATGACCTTTCCACAAATTGATAGTAGCGTACATCGGATTCTCTTTGAACTAGGTCACCTACTTGTTACGTAGGTCTCTAACTAGAAATAGGATGTGCATTTCACTTCACAAAGAATCAAATACGTATATAGAAATCTGACGAATAATTATATACGTATAACAATATTTATATCCCAACGCAAATATTAAGTACATTCGCGTTGGATTGCGATTACACCTTACTAAGTTAAAATTGGGTTATACCTATGCTGTACATAGATATCGTTGGGTCACATTCATTTAAATACATTAACCAATAAACAGAACACACAAGAAACCATTCGGCTTCTTGTGTTCTGTTTCGTTCTGTTCTGTCGACGCAGTCGCTGCGGCAAATATTTACTAAAAAGTTGTTTGACACTTTTAATGCAAAATTTTACACAACCGTCATAAGCGTCAAGCCAAATTTACCGAGAACCGTGAACAACAGGCTAATATGAAATTACTGCATCTTCGATAGAATCTAATCACAGGAAATTCTTGATCTGTTGCCGACAATCAAGGAAGACGGTGCGGTTTGTTGACGCAGAGCATCTTTAGATCGTGATATCCGACGTCATTCGAGCATCTGTGTTTAGAGCTAATTAATGAAACTGGCGCTCTTAATGAAGATTACTCTTTTGCTCTTTAGATTCTCGTATTACTTTTACGGTCATTACATCACCGGACAAATTCCGTCTTTGGGCGTTAATAGCTAAGTCACATTAGTCGTGACGTTACAAATAAAAATGACCTGTGACATTAACTAAGGTTAATAAAGACGTTTATGAGGTAGACGAAAGGATATATAGAAAAGATAATTATTTCACTGCATTAATTATATCACACATATCTAACGTCACTTTATAGAATATTTTAAACTGAATATAGACGTAAATTATGAGCGAAATTTCTTGTGATGGCTACTCAACAACTTTGCCTATATTCAACTGCAAAAGGATTTCTTGAAATTGCCATACAAATTTTTCTTTCAACATCGTTTCAAAGTTTTACCTGAACTTTTTTAATATACCTAAATAACATAAATTTATGGTTGTAAATAAATCCTATAATTAATGTGCTTTGTATTCTTTCAGACGCATTGTAACAATGAGGGACGAGCGTAGCAGCACCCCTCGCGTCCGCATCGCCGTCATCGGCAGCTCACGAGTTGGCAAGTCCGGTAAGTAACACAGAAATTCACTCATTTCACATTTATACCACTCCTAACACGACAAAAAAATTAGAACAGTATCTTTGCTTATCCAAACTCGTGACCCATATGCCTGAGAGCTTGTTATAATTTAATGGATTCATAAGTGCACAGATATCGTTACAACATACTTTCTTCGTATTTTTCCTCTACTAATGTTTCATATCTTTCGTAAACTCTATATCCATGTTATGTAACAAAAATCTTCTCCCCATTCTTGGTTACTCAAACGAATTTTTTCGTGAATCATTGAAGATTGAACCCCATTTCGATGTTTTGAACGTAAATAGTGGAATATTTTCATTAACAAGTGCAATTACATAACCCGGCCACTACGACGTTACATAAACTAACCCAGAGATTTCTTCTATTCTATGACCCATTCCACTTTGTGATGTAATCATTGTAGATCCTTGTTTTTTTAACAACATTCAGTTGCTTAGTATTCAGCTAAAGTAAATATCGGTCTAGTGAGCATATGCCTGACTCATCCTGAAGTTAGTTTTGCCAAGACAACAATGGCGTCATTGAAAGTGAACTGCAATATATCTGACTTATTACAAAGTAAATTTATTACGTAGGTATCGCAACATTAAAACTCACAAAATCACCCACGACTGGGGCTTCGTTCAGTCATTTATATTGCAAATGGGGATAAACGCGATAAAACCGATTTAATTGGTATTTGCACATCTACCTACGAGAGACGACAATTTCCAAGCGTCAGCGTCCTCTTTCGAATATTTCCAATTTAAAAACAATACTGGCCACTATTGTGATGTATTTGCTGTTAATTATTTTTTTCAAAATTAGCGACACTCGTTTGTTTATTACATTTAAGGAAGTTTCAAAATGGCCACCGTAAAGATACATTGATGAAATGCTCAAAACTTTTTTTCGACAGAATAATGTCCCTTTCTACTACTTGATAATGACCCTTTCTTTGAAAGCTATTCAAACAAAGAACATTTCCTTTGCAGGGATATTGAAAAAGTAGCCATAATCGGCTTTTATTTCATAATCGCGTTTGTCCCCGTTTGCAATATTACAGTGGTTACACACGGCGACTTGTAACAGCGATGGAAACGCGCGTTCGTGAAACGCGCTTCTGTATCGCTACACTTGCGATTTATAGACGATTGCATATAAATCCCAACTGTAGCTATGCATCCCACGTTTGCATCGATGCAATCGTGCGCTTGCATCGCGTTTGCATCGTTGCTTAAAATCTCGCGTGTGTGTAAAGGTAGACGATTAGAGACTGCATCGCGTTTGTATCTCTGTTAAAAGTGGCCGTGTGCAACCGCTCTTAGAATAATGCAATGCGTGTATCAGGCGTGTTATACAAAACCTTTCCTTTGTTACAGCTCTTATTGTGAGATACCTAACAAGGCGATACATCGGAGAGTATCACTCCAACACAGGTAACCTATATATTTATTTAGACATCTATATGTACAAAGTTCTTAATGATAATTTGTCATTTTGTGAAGAATTTCAATAATAATCTTAATTTACTTTTTTCAGATCTCCTTTATAGACAGACAGTGCCTATTAACGGTACTCCAGTGGAATTAGAAGTTATAGATGTTTCCGGATCCAATTCAGACAAATTTCCCACAGAACAGGTAACAATTATATTTACTCTTCCGGTTATTAGGTCTTTTAATTTTGATTTTTAACGTTCATTAGTTCAAAGATAAGGATCATTTTCTGTTGAAGGTCGTTACTCTCAATGTAGGTATGGCGAGTTTGATTATGGCCGTCGATGTGCTTACTCAATCAACTTGCCTTTGATTGTAATAATAGGTTTATTGAATATCACGATGTTTTACTACAATGATATTCAATTTTTCTTGTGAAATTACTCCACTAGTTTGTTATAATTTTTAATACAAAGATCGAACACTAAGAAAAATTCATTCGATCCGGCTGGGCTCGAATCAGCGCCTTCATTTTATCGTGGTTGACGCTTTTCCAACTGAGCTACGGAACGAACCAGCAGACATTACGAACTTTCCTATGTGCTTGTTGCAGATCTTTGTTTTTGGTTTTGCATTTTATTGTCTGAACCAAATAAAAAGGCGGCCGAATATAAAAGAATCATCATCAATTCGAGTGTTACCTCTCTCGAATCTGGGTTAATTTGAAATAACGTAGGAACCTTGTACATAGTTCATATTCACCTTCAAAAAATCAAAAGACACAAAGCTCGACCTTTGTTTTCAAACAATAACACAATCACTAAATCACTGGAAGATTAGGCGTGTTAAAGTTTTAAGTAAACATTGCGACGAGAATCCGTCGAGGCCGGCTATCATAGGTTTCGTAAAATCGTTCATGCTTTTAAAACACACATCTGGACTATTTCGGTCTCGACTTTCGATCAACAATAACTGCTTTGTTTCTGATTTCAAATTTTTAAACAGGAAAGGCGTTAAAATGTTCCTGCATTTGTTACACCAGAACAATTTAGTAGTTTAACCCTTTTGATGAAACGAAACTGTATAATATAATAAAACTCTCTCTCTCGTTGATTGATGGACGCGGGAGTTGCTTCCGTATAATGCAAAATAAAAAATTACAGGTTGCTATGTTAAAACAGAGTAATACATAGCGTACTTACAACAGCGCAGGTACTGGTATTCACGGCCCATAAATCATATTTTGAAATCGTATTTAGAGCGATTGCTTTCCGCAAACAAAGCCAGGCTCAGGCGGTGTTTCGATGCTCCTAAACTAACGCAGTAGCTGTAACATGTAGGTTAATCACCGTAAATATAATGCGAATGGTATGAAATGGCTGCTGGTGTTCCAGTGACCCACCGTGCATTATGAATCACTGTTTACATTTCTATATTAATAGTTCAACTCACCTCGATTGCTGTTTGTTTTACTAGTTAATGGCATTTTTCTAGTCAACGAACGTTAATTTTCACATTCGCACAGTTGTCATTTACAATACAATATGTTTTTTTTTATGATACCAAGCGACGGGACGAACAAGTCGTGCGCCTGATAGTACGCGACACGCCTGACCATAACAGTTGCAGTGCCACTCTGCGCTTTAAATCAGAAAAATCCGAGGGGTATTGATACACCGCCCGTCACACTGAGACATAAATTGACAAGTTTCATGTGTGTGAAACTAGAACGCAGTTAATTACATTGAACATTACTGGTTGGGGGCAGAAAAAAAAAACATAGATTCGTCGCTACTCCCTCGGTGTTCACGTTGATCGTTAACGACAGAAATATACACTATCGATTCATCGTTTCGATCAGTCTGAAACGCCGGATCGTGAAGGCAAATCGTCCCTTATATGATGACGACATGTAGTTTGTTTTTAATGGAAAATAAATATATTTTTGTTTTTCACTCCTAGTCTCACATTCAAAGTGTTTTCTATTCAGCACACGCGCTAATTCAGTTTATTTAAAACATAAGCTGAATAGTCACAAATCAGTAGTACGAAACTATCTTTCACATGTAATATTTTTAATAATTACAGTAGATTTATTATAATAGATTTAATACACATGTGAGCGTAGATATATTGAATCAATTTAACAATAGTATTTATTGAGTCAGAATAGTGCTTAGGTAATTAATTAAAAGTGTGCAAATGGCAGTCCGTGCTACGATACCTGTTAGCTAGATAGCTACGACGCGTGTAGCATACGTAATATAAAATGACAAAATTTAATTTTGACTAATGAAAGCTATATTTAAGAAGACATTCACTACATTTCTGTACTCTGAGTAAATCATGTTTTTCGTTACAATGATCTAATTCATTGCTAAGGTGGTATAATAATAAAACCAATTTTACGACTATTCTTGTTAGCAATAAGCAATGGCAATCATTGTTTTGTTTCCGTCGCGTGGGAGATCGCCCGCGCCCGCGCCCGTGAAACTTACCGAGTATTTTCAGACGGAATGTTGGCTCCGACACGCTAATTAATCACATTCGTGGCTGCTTCTCTGACTGATCTTCGAGCCCAAAGTATTCTGTCTAGACTTGCAAACTTACACTTTTATTTTCCTATTCACCGGGATGTATTTGTGGGCAGATTTTTCAAATGTATATATTAGTACGTGACGGATTAATATTAACAAAAAAATTATTTAATTACAACTGTAATAATAAAAAATCTGAAAAAATAGAGTGTATTTATACAAAACTATTTTTTTAGCGTTTTTATATAATCTCCACACTGAAATCCCTGAATGATTAAAAACCAAAATCAAAATCAAATGGACATATGAAAAGATTTAGGTAAAATCAAAAATTTCTTCAATCCGGCTGAATCGCTCTGAATCTGTAAGCAGATTTTTTTTGTTCGATCTTTGTATCAATAATAACAAAAAACTGGTGTAGTATTTTCACACACAAATATACGAATATCATGACAGTAAAAACATCATGATATGCAACAATAAAATAAAATAATAGATATATTTAAACCGACTTCAAAAAAAGGAGGAAGTTCTCAATTCGTCTGTATGTTGTTTTTTTTGTATGTATGTTACGATAATTCCGCCATTTGTGAACCAATTTTGATGATTCTTTTTTGTTGGAAGGAAGGTACCTCAGATGTGGACCCATTTAAATTTCAAGAAAATATTCCACCTCTAAGGGTGGCATACTAGGGGATGAATGACTTTTGAGGTCGGTTTTTTTTAACCGGACGTTAGGTTATCACTTTCAATAATTACAAAAATTATCTTCTAAGTATTCTACTGTAATAAAGTATTCATTGCTAGCTACACATCAAAATATAGAACAAAATGTACTACTTCCTTTAAGTTTTGGGAAATAACGCTACCTATTCCGAGATCTGGTAATTTGTATACAACATAAACATTATTCCGATAAAAAAATTTAAAAATAAATTTCTTTGTTTCAGATCCAATGGGCAGATGCTTGCCTGCTGGTGTACTCGGTGACAGACAGAAGCAGTTTTGAATACGCCACTGAGGTGCTGAGTGCTTTGAAGCGTGCGCCACCAAATGGCGGCAGTCCGGCCCATAGCGCCGGTGGAGCGGCTGCACAAATGCCACTTGCTCTGCTCGGCAACAAGACTGACTTGGATCATCTGAGACAGGTCAGTATCATGAACATTTTAGTTTAGGTAGTACAGTATAACATAGACTAGATGACGTGTATATTGTTAAGGTCCCATACACACACGATTCCTCGTTTCGATTGCCACGATAATGGTTTTTTTTATGAGACCAGTGGCAGTGACGCGACGAACAAATCGTGCGTTTGGTGTTAAGCGACACGCCTGTCCATAGCAGTGGCACTGCAGCCACTCAGAATTTTAAGTTGCAAAGATATGAGACTCCTACTGCGCCTGTAATTTCACCAGCAGAATACTTACCCTTCAAAACCAGAACGCAGTAATGCTCACAACGCTCCTTGGGGTAGAAAAAGACATAGATTCGTCGCTATTCCCTCGGCGTTCACGTTGATCGTTAACGTTGACAGTTAGTCTGAAACGACGGGTCGTGAAGAAAAATCGTCCCGTATATGGGGGCCTTTAGGCGATACGACATAACTCGATGACGACGTGTAGTTTGTTTCTAATTGAAAATCAATATACTTTTGTTTCTCACATTGAAAGGGTTTTATATTCAGTACACGCACTAGTTCAGTTTATTTTACGATCCACCATTCATAGACCAAATAAAAATCAAGATATACATCCTCAGTTCATAGACAACATGCCTCTTTGGATCACGAAGCCAAAACGTCTGTTGTAACATTGCGAGGGCGTTACTAATCAACTTACATCTACAAATAACGCAACAAAAATAATACACAATTTCAAACAAATAAAAAGATTATTGTTTGGTAAAGAAACCCACGGATCGGACACAGGGAGATTAGTTTTGGAGAGAAGTGAACGAGGTTAAATGAAAAAGTTTATTCACAACAGAGGTGATCGTTTGTTATTGATTGTCCTTATTTACCTGAATGGATAACGTTCAAAAGAAAATTCGCACAAAAAGAGAAAAATACTTTTCTTTAACGAAAGAAATGCAATTTTTCTTGCAAAGTGGAGAGATAAATCTCGACAATAATAATTAAGACCAGAGTTAAGGAGAGAAAAGTTAAGACTAGTTAAAAAAAGACTAGTTACCAAAACTTTATAATATATACAATGAGAAGTAAATATTAAACAATATCTAAGTTCTAAACTTTGTATTTAAGGGCTAGCCTCGTCGGTGGAGTAAACAAAAAACCAATCATCTCTGTTAAGGGTCCTAACTTTTGATTTCCTGATACGACACGACATTTTGTTCTTTATCTGAATAGCATTATCTCGCATAGAGGGAGCGACATAGAAGCCTATGTCGCTCTTGCGAAATTCGTGCCATGTCGTGCTAGCCCTACTGATCTAAATAACTTCGTCTAGGTCTTCCTCTGCCTCCCTTTCCTACGATCTTTCCCTTTTGTAATGCTTCTAAGAAAACAGTCAAGACATATCAGATGCTCAAAATCTTTCAAAATTCTAGATTGTTCACATCTAAATGCAGGCGATGCTAAAACCCATCGAGTATATAACCTTAAATACTCGATGCTAAAACCTACCTTGGAACGCCATAACAAAAGCCATGTAATTGTAATTTGTGTTGATTGATCCCTAATGGAAATCTGTCGTGTTGTTGTGAAAATTGGATTTATCGATGAAATATAGACCCTTGATTTCATTTGTGATTGTGTGTACCAAAATAACAACAAATTTACAAATAGAATTATACGCAACAGGCGAGAAGACACAGACTAGGTATCATAAAAAAAAAGATGGATAGTTTTGGCAATGTTGCATGAGTTTTTCAGAAAATCTTCGTTTTAGTAATACATATTAATTCTCAAAAATATGTATTTCGATGTTTATTTCCTTGGTTGCAGGTTCCCACCAAAGAAGGTCAAACCCTAAGCGCAACATATGGGGCATCGTTCAGCGAAGCTAGCGTAGCTGACAACTCCGGTGATCTCTATCGCTGCGTCGATAAACTACTCGCTGAAGTGCGCACTCCTCAGCGTACGCGCAAATTTTCTGTTACCAAAATGCTTGGCTCACTCATAGGTGCGTACTATCACAAACTTATCGCAACAATATAACTAATATTGGTAATTTACTTAATGTATATATGTCACTAGAAAGAAACTCTAATATATTTTTGTCTTGTTACAGGTGGCACGACGAACAGTGCCCATACAAGCCGCAGTGGTTCAATGGTAGCGTGCCCACGTGTGCCCGCTCCGTCGCGGCCAGCGCTTGCGGCGGCTGCACCCTGACCGACGGCGGCGCCCGCACACCGTGCGCGCTGATGCCTTGCCGGCGCCGGCGCCGTCTGGCTCTCCTGCCTGCCTGTGCCCGCTCGGTTCACCTCTCCTGCGCCAATCTCGACTTCAGTGTTCACCGCAGTATGAGGGACTTCTTTGTGATATCGTGCTCCAACATACAGGCTAATTAGTGGCAACCTTTAAGATCAAATGTACGGATGAGGAATTACTTTGTACGTACTAGACAAAACCATTCTCTAATGGTTATTAAAATATAAATGACCAACTCAGTAAGACCAGGCTGTCGTAGAATTGTATTGCACCAAAGAATTTTAATTGGACCTAGTCATAAATGGCGCACTATGTATGATAAGAAAGTTATTTTGGCTTTAATTTTATAAGTTGCGTGACTTTGCCTAATTTACATGTACTTATAATGAATTATTATATTAGTATTTATGGTAAAAATACTCAAATAGTGTGATGAACGTCAGTTAATTTTAATTAGAAGTTATGACAATAATGTAATAAAATATTTACAAAATCCGATACCAAAGATCAAGACTTCTTTTCTTTAAGTAATATTTTACAAAAAGAAGAAAATACATCAAAATAGTTAATTTGATTAACGTATTGTGTAGATAGACTATAGTAGATAATTGTTATAGAAAAAGTACATAATGTGACCTAACATTATTATAATGGTTCAAATAAGTAAGGTTAGGTACTCAGTATTATTATTGTGTAGCAATATGATATCTACTTTTCTATCCCACTGAATATTCGTAGTTACAATTTATATATAATAATTTAAACAGCAGTCTTGTTTAATTTGCACCTTATGTTTATGTATATAGTGTATTAATTGCAAATGTAACAATATGTGTATCATGAGAAACGTGGCAATGCCGTGAGTTTAGTCATTTCTAGTCATTATAGGTTAAAGGCTGTGAAAAGACATGGTGACAAAAGGCGGTTCAAAATGAATTGGTCAATGGTATCTTTTAAAGTTATTGAAAGTTAATGTTGATAGTCCGTCACATGTAAGTACGTACAAGATAACCAGAGCTACATGTAGTTATCGCATATAGGATTGTCTTTCGGCAATCTTCGTGTTTTTCCGCGTTCGCGTCCGATTTGTCCTGTGCAATTGGTGCATATCGAACGCACATAATTGACTTAAAATAAGGGTATAGAAGCTACTACTATACTTTGTTTAGCTTATATTTCTGTTAACTTGTTTGGTATATTACAAGGAATATAAATGTTATTATAATAATCTCAGTACAGAGTGCTAAAAAACCGACCTCAAAAGTTCGTGGAATTACATCTATTTGCCAAGTTTTATTGAAATCGGTTACCGAAAAGTGCACGAAACCAGATTCATCCCCTAGTTTGCCACCCTTAGAATGGTGGAATATTTTCGTACGTAGATCTCATAGACTTAGTATATAGGTAACTATGTACTAAATCTATGGTAGTTCTAAATACAAATTATTACATATTATGATAAACGTAAAGAGCCTCATATGCAGATGATTTCTCGTCGACAATCATACGATTGTCCGATCCGTCGCTACTCCCTTGGCCTTAAAGTTAATCGATAACGACACTATCGATTCGTCGTTTCGATCAGTCTGTAACGATGGATCGTGAAGACAAATCATTCCATATGGGAGCTTTAATAATCACTAGACACGGAAATATGTGTTCATGTGCTTTCGGAAATCCGAAGATTGCCAAGAGATATTTAAAACATAGTTGTACTGCGTGCTATTTATACTGACCAAATTATTGAATGATCAGAAAGTTAAGTGAACATTATTATTAAATGTAGTCAGGAAATTTAAATTGTATTGCGATGATCCAAATGTTGAAATGAATTGCCAGATGTTACTAATGTTGAACAATGGGTGAAATCTTTTTGAATGAATTATCAATTTAGAAGGAGAAGAGGATCTATAAGAATTAATATTAGATTGTTGTACCAACTTGTTTAGAATACAAAATGATAATATTATATGGCTTTCTCTATGGAATACGCAGCGGTGAATGTAAATTGATAAACAGACTAAAATAAAGTCGGAACTGATTGGAATAAGTTGTAAATATCTTGAACTCAATAGCTTTAAAAAATAAATGTTTCCTAATATATTATTTATGTCATTTTATTTTTTTAATTTACCTAATTTTGGTGAAAGCCAGTGACATGAATTGGGAATGGCAATTTGATATCATGTACTCTTAAGGAATATTTTTAAAAAGGAAGAGAAATAACAATTTTTCTTCTTTTTTTTCTAAACGATCATTGACGATTTCTGTAGTCCAGTGGCTTGCACACCGATTTTCATAGTGTTGCCATCTCTGAGGTCTCGGGTACGATCCCCGGCCGGGACAATGTAGAAAAACTAACTTTTCTATAATGTCTCGGGTCTGATTGTTTGTGGTACCGCCGTTGTTTCCGATTTCCATAACACAAGTACTTTTGTTACTTACTTTGGGACCAATGCAACGTATGTAATGTAAATTTTTTTTAATGACATCTTGTTATGGCGCCAAAACTTTTCTAACGAGATAGAAGTACCTATTGAAAACAAGAAATTAAACATATTAAAATAAAAAATCGAAAATTCCTCGTGTCGATTGGAAATTCCATCACCCAAAACACATTCAATGTACATTATGCGTATGGATGATGAAAATGCTCGACGTTGATGTTTATAAAGTGTAGTTTCTATTAATCCACTTGTGAAACGAATGAATCATCTATGGATTGAATTATGATACTACAGGCGCCTCAGATAAACTACTGCTGTATGAAAATTCTTTACGTTCACACGACGCTTAAAAGATTACCTATTTTTCCTGTTGTATATTAAAAATTAAAGTTAGATTTTTTGCATATACTTAAAACGCAATACGAATAATTTAACTCAATTACCGGTCGATGTATCATAACTAGCGTTTCGTTTAGGCAGTCGGTCAAACGTGCGCCGCGAAAATAAATCACGTTCGGAGAACAATGCTCTACAGAGATGTGAGGGGTGCGCACCCCAGCTGCGTACCGCGATCGATTATGGACCGCCTCTCCACGCTGCCGTCGCTGCACTGTCTGTCAACCCGGCTCCAAATTCAAACGTCCGTCAATGCCGTTCTGTTTTAAAAGTTATTATTTTATTATTTTAATTAGGGCCAGTGTTATGTATTAAATATTTTAAAAAATGGAGGGGCGTAGGTCTTGGGATGGTGTGCCGTTGGGCGAATCTCATTCCCCTCCACAGTCAGTGCCGGGAAGAAGAACCCCGCTGGGGGCTGTTGGTCTTGGAGGCTTTTACATGCAAGGAGGACAGCCCCCACCACCCCAGCACTGTTACCCAACTGATGAAAATCAACCTGAGCCTGGGACCAGTTATGCTCAAAGGTTAGTACCATTGTCAAAACACAGTGAACCTGGTCTGTTTATAATTTGAAATCGTTGTTTTGATTTGAACGTCTGTGTACATTAGCCAAATGCCAAAATAAACGTCGTTGTCTGCCTCTTGTCGGTACGAAGATATCAATAGTTATACCCGTGAAAACATTTCCATTATGGAATCGTACCTATTTCGCTATTTGTTTTTAGTTCGGGCGTTTTTTTTTTGACACAAAAGCACATTCACACAATATACGCTTAATATGGAAGAAAAACTCTTTAACTCATCTAATTACAAGAAGAAAATTTTGTCAAGTGCCGCGCCCAGGGATATCGCGTCTGAGAGGCTGGCAATGTGACACCACCCTTGGGTGTCTAAACTTATTTTTTGGAGAAGTAGTTGTTAGTCTTTAAATCTCCTCAGGTAGGAGTTTGATCTGTTACCATTACAGTTTCAGAGTTTCTTATTGTCTAAGGTTAGCGTTTGAGCCGTAATTCTCTGTTTTTATCTCCCGATAATCTGAAACAGCGCATGCGATTTAGAACTTCAACTGAGTAGATCAAAAATTTAATGAAAGCATGGAAAATAATTATTAATCGTGAAGTTATCTAATCACTTCGATGTCACATTTGATAGAGCCCTAAATAAATAAAATGCTTAAATAATTCAGATACATAATAACCTACTTACGTGCTTTGAAATAGATTTTTACTACATGTACGGACAACGGCACTTCTCCCTTTGCAAATATGTTGCAAATTTAACTATGCCGCATGCTAAGACGTAAAAAATACAACATTATGAAAGTAAATTTAGCTAAAAAGATTGTTAATAGCCGGAAATTTCTTAACATGGCGTTTCTATCATTAGAAAAAACAACATATGTTCCATGAATTCTGAAAATACTCATTTTATGTTTCCCATGGAAAAGGGCGAAACAGATGACGAAAGGAAAAAACCTAAATTGTAAATTTATCAAAGTTTTGGAACACAGAACTTTACTTTTAAATTCAGGTTAATTAAAAATTACAATGGACACAATACGCGCTAAAATAATATCAATATCTATCCGCACACATGTCCAAGAGTAGCATGCAGTTGTGAACATCTGTGCACAATGGGATAAACTCCATCCATATACAATGGCATAAACTCCCTCCAGTGTGCAAGTGGACAAACTCCCTCCCTTGCACAAGTACATGTTTTGTTCCCGGGCGACCATCATTTTCAATTACCATTTTTACCATAGAGTCATGACGACTAGACAAAATTGTCTACGTACTTTTTAAAATACTTAGATGTCGAGTATACTATACAAGTAAGGTAATTAACTGATTTGATAATGTCGTTGTTGTTCTAATGAGAAACTTCTTTGATTTCATGCAATAGAATTCAACAAAAACCGTTTTTCAGAATATAGGTTGTGTTAATAATAATAATAACGCACACACTCAACATAGCCCCGCACTAGGGAAACATGGACACACACATAGATAACCACAAATTACACCCAAACTCACGAGATAAATAAATGCAGGCCACACAAATATTTATCCTGGCCCGGAAATCGAACCTGGGACCTCTGCGTGGCAGTCCGGCATTGTAACCATTCGGCCGCGGAGGCAGTTCGTGGCTTTTATAGTTAATGCCTTTTATACATGAAATTGTATAAAATAAAATACCTACTGCATTTGCATCCTCTTACTTTAAAGAATATAATACATGACAAAAGCTTATATGTAAATGATTATCACTAGTATCAGGTTTCTTACCACGGTATGACTTCTTTTTATTTTCCCGATATTTCCGAACGGTTGCACGCTCCATGGTCACGGGTTGACAATGTCGACAGAGTCAACCCGTGACCATGGAGCGTGCAACCGTTCCGAAATATCGGGAAAATAAAAAGAAGTCATACCGTGGTAAGAAACCTGATACTGGTGATAATCATTTAGTGAATAACCACGAAAGTCTTAAAATCTATATAGCTTATAGGTATTTTTACTAGTTTTTACTACTTTATTTTTATTATTGTGGTTTTTCAGTCTCATCTGCACATTCATACATTCATCTCACCTGCGTGACTAGTATCTTCTCACTCCTAGACACTTAGTTAATTACTATGAAGCAAATTTGTCACCTTATTGTTTTCAGTTTAAATTTTTTAAATTACTAATAAAACTTTTGTATTAAGTGTTAAGTAAAAAAGTATATTAATTAAATTATTAATTAAGTAAATTATCAACAAATCATGAACAGTAAATCTTTCTTGTTACCTTACAATGATGTATCAATATAAGTAGAAATACAATCTGGTACGGAACTTTGTAATAACTTATTTAACTCTTATCAAAAGTATTTTAACTGTTATCCGTTCTGCTGTCTATATAATAAATTAACAAATAAGTAAAAGCCCTCTACGTACCAATCCAAATTATAGAAATTACTTGTGTTTAAATAATGGCCTTTCTAGCCAATTCATAAGCAATGTCACCCTTGTCCCCCGTTTGGACGGTCGGACGTATAAACCAATCCATTGTGGGTTTGAAGAATTATAGCACTTGTTCCGCTACCCGTTCATTGTTCTCGTAAAGCATTGATTTAGTAGGCCTTTACGATGTTATTGTCGTTTATAGTAGACTGATTTAGTTTACTTTAACTACGTAAAGTGACGATACTATCCCTAAAATATTTGCGAGATTACGTTCTTTTTAAATTTGACTCTTATTAAACAAATTGCCGCTACTTCTTCTTGATGTTGAGTTTATATTGATTCAATATAAAATGATCAATGTGAATCTCCAAATGTTCTCAGTACGTTGTTGATACTTTTCTGTGGAGAAGAAGTAGGTGACAACTACGCCGACACTTGGACATCGCACTGTACTCGAGTCTGTGTGTTTGGTACTGTCGTTGTTTCCGATTTCCATAACACAAGTGCTTTAGTTGCTTACGTTGGGGTCAGAGTAACACATTGATGTATTATATATGTATTGATGGTTATATACATTGCAGCCTATTCAAAAAAATGCACGTTGTTATTTTCCAAGAAAAGTGACACAAAACAAAATAGTCCCTTTTTTACTGTTTCACACAATATTTTGAATGTTTTTGTGTTCAAAATGAAATGTGGCAATCATATAACAACGTTAGTCTACGAATCGTCGGCTTTATGCGCCATATACGTCTTAATTTTTGAAATCTGCGTCTAGAAGAATTCGTTTTTGAGATAGGTCACTGTTCTAAAAAGCCATTGGTATATAACTTGAATAGATAACTAAACAATATTTTAAATCATTTCAGACCCATCGGCGAGGGCAAGGGGAAACAAAAGATGAGGCAAGGGAAAACCGTACGACTGAATATAAATGCAAGAGAACGAAGAAGAATGCATGATTTGGTTAGTGGAAGTTATTCGCATAGCCTTATGATATGTCTTAAGTTATTAATTAAAGCTATTTCGTTCGAACAACACCACAACCATAGAAAGTTCGTTCCGGGAAGTACTGCTCTTATTACCTTACCTATTTCTGCCGCAAACAGTAATGTGTGCATTACATGGGTGCTGGTGAAATCACAGACACATGGGACTTGTCAATTTATCGTCTTAGAGTATGACGGGCGCAGTGGCAGTGAACTTTAGATCTATTCGCGATTTAAAGCTCTTTTATTTAATAGGCATATCGCTTACCACCAAGCACACAGCTTGTTCGTCCCATTGCTTGATAAAAAAAGTTATTTAGTGCTGAAATCTCAAATCACTTTATACAATGCGATGCAATACCGACACGAAGTATTTTCGAGAATTGTCACACAATATAATGGTTTTCCAAAAACTGTCGCGTCGAGTGACTGGAGATGCAATTACGAGAGACGGTTTGTTAAATGCGTGACAAATCAAGGTTAAATAAAATATTTTTTTTTTATTTATTTATATTTCTTACTAAGCAACTGACATTAGGTACTTTTTTTTTAAATAAGTACAAAAGTGAAAATTGGAAATAAAAAAGATATGACAGAGAAATGACGTCGATATATTTTTTGAAGATGGAAAAATCGGAAATTCGAGTATTCAGTTTCTCATCAGTAATCAGAACATCAAAACTTGTCGAATTATGATATTGACACATCCCCCATATTCACCAGATTTAACCCCACTTAAAAAAAAGGAGGAGGTTCTCAATTCGACATAATTTTTTGAATGTATGTTATGCGATAACTCATTTATGAACCGATTTTGAGAATTCTTTTTTTGTTGGTATGAAGCTAAGAGTGGCAAACTAGGTGATGTACCCGGTTCGCGTTCTTTCCGTTAACCAATTTCTATAAAACTTGACAAATAGATGTAATTCCACGAACTTTTGAGGTCGGTTTTTTTCTACTCTGTACTAAGGTTATTTTTACCTATTTGCATCAAACGAGGAAGTGATAACTGAAATAGAGGCTTTTATAGACTAATATTTTTTGATGGGTTGAAGAAATTGATCGCTTGTCAAGGAGTTAAAAGTAGATTCAGTAGAAAGATAAACCATAATTTAAAAAAAATATTCTCAAAGTAACTGACTTATATTGTTGTATTTATCGATTTTCAGAACGACGCGTTGGATGATCTGAGATCTGTTATTCCGTACGCACACTCGCCATCCGTCCGCAAACTGTCCAAAATTGCAACTCTGCTGCTTGCCAAGAACTACATTCTTATGCAAGCCAGCGCTCTTGAGGAATTGCGAAGGTACGAATAAAAAAATACGGAACTTATTTTGCAAGTATGGGTTTAATTTCCACATCATATTCGACAAATATCGTAATTAGCTGTGAGACTTTTTTAATATTGATGTGGATATAAATATATGTATGTAGGTACTAGGTACAGTCCATGTCCTCAGATACCTGACCCTCTAACCGAACATTTGGTTCTGAATAGATAAGTATTAAACAAACTTAACCTTTAATGGCTCACAGCCATAAAATTCGTGATATTACTTCCGATTGCATTATTAGTGTTAAGACGTTTTAAGACACTAAACTTCTTAAGGCAACTTCATATTTAATATATGCTTACTTAAATACACAATACAAAGATCATGGCCTATTAATCTGACCCAGTTAATGGACGTTTTCGTAAAAAACTACATTACTTTTAAATTATACACTTAAACCATTATTATTTTACGTAAAAAAATTAAAATAACAGTGCAATAAAGATTTTATATTAAACATACTTTTATTTGTATGAAAGTCTGACAATGACCTGGTTAAGATTTACTAGGTTATTGTCAGACTTTCTTACAAAATAAATATCATATCATTATACTCGTGCGCTATCCCTACGCGGTCAGTTGTAGTAGGAATAGCACTGAAATAGATCTCTGGGTGATAAACAATAAATACAAAACATACAAATATTTTGCACTAACATACATTTTTATATAAAAATATTTTTTTTTTATTCTATAATTCCCAGTACCCACAACAAAGCGATACAAACCATTGTAAGGTACACATAGTTTTGTATAAATCTAGCCATATGTTATTTCTATACGCCGCACTATGGGGAGATTGAGCCATTGTCGTGTCATAAATCTATAACTTCCAAGTGTTGAAAGATAATTACGTGATTTTTTTTTTTGGACATTCTTGAATATATGTGCTTTTAATTAATATTCATTTTGTGGGTTTTAACATATTTTTAACAACGTAACTTTTTTAACCTTTTTTAAACTTAACGTTTTTAAGAATGAAAAAGAAATCAAAAGCAATTACAAAGGCTATATTACAAAATTGAAGACTGTGTGTTAGATAAAGATGTGTGGAAAAACGACATGAGTCGCACAGATTCACGCTGTATATGCCATCCAACCACGCACTATTTTGGCTTAAGAATTGTTCTTTTTTCTACCAGATTTGGTGAACCGTTGAAGAAATTGAGAAATTAGATCTTTTTTTAATATTTGCGACAATTTTTGCAATATTTGACTTCGAATACCGATTATCGCGTATATAATTTGTGATAGCGACAACATAATTCATATCACTTTCAATTAACACGAGACATAAGTCGCGTCTGGTGCAAAAAAATTCACTCACTGCAGAAAGATATTAAGTAATACCCTTTCAGTAACAACAATAACACATAAAAAAGTGTAATTTTTATTTATATATAAGCAAAGGTGCTATTTATACATAATATTGATGTGAAGCGTGCGTGTGAAATGGTTTGATATAAACAGCCTACCACTATGCGCGGTTTTCGATAATTTTATCATAGTAAATTGTATATGTGAACAAAAATACGATGAGAAATTCTATATATGTTACCTAAATAATAACCACATTGTATAAAATATAATATAAAAGCCATATCAACAAACGAAAATGACTTCGTTAGCGTATGTTACGCAAGAAAACCGCAAGGTTTTTTTTATTCTAATATAAATTTGTTAGTTTGCCTATGAAACAACACTATTTATAGAGCACCGCCAAATTTCGGCAACAGTCAAAACTCTAGAATTGAATATTAAAGATAAGCAAAATTAGCATATAACGAGATGTACATAGCTGATGGGTATATTTACGAAAGCAGATTATATACATGTGCTTCAGAAAATAGTGCTTATTTTCAGCGTTCCAAAATGGTATAACACTTGTATTATTACTATTGCTATGTCACTATAATTTCATATTGAACAAATCACAAATTTAAATTATTTTAAACATTTTTTCATTCCGCATATTTGGCTGCTCTATGCCATGATATAGTAACAGACAGAAGTTTAAATGATGTATATTTGTATAGATTAATCTCTTAGCTTTAATTTGAGGTACAATACATCTAGCTCCGCAGACTTTTGGGAAAACCATTTATGGCATGGCTCTCTTAGGCGGTTCCCCATAGTGCGCCGCCGGTGGTTATAGTTTTTATACTTTGGTAAGCCATGATCTTGGAACCAAAATATCGGCTAGGGAGTCAAGTATCTTAGGGCGTCGACTGTACATAAAAAATCGATAAAATGAACAGACAGGACATAATTGGTGTTTTCCAAACTTCCAGTTCTAACATTTAAAAGTAGATAAGCTTGTTTCAATTGGAGCATATACAATTGATTTCTATAGCAATGAGCAATAACTACGTATATAATAAGTTACCTACTTTGTGGTACCCATAGAATACGAGGCTATTATTATGATATTTTTTTATAAAATAAATATTGTCGATCAAAACTAATCTTCAATTCTAAATATCGTAAACCAACTTCTACACAACCTAAAAATGTCTTCGAATAAATCTCGTCGCCAAAAGTGGTATCTGCTAACTTCAGACAGAGAAATTCGTTTTGTTTTTCATGTATTATATGCCATTAGATTCAAGTTCCTCAAATATTAGAGATAGTTGAAACACAACTTAACTATAATTTTTCAAATTTTTACTGAAGCATCGGAAAGTTTCTGCACATGCTCAAAACAGAACCCAAAAAAATCTTAATAATTCCTTATTTTAAATGTACAATACATTTATTATTTTTGCTTAAATATAGCAAATGTTTTAAATTTAATCTGCCTTCTCTATTGGCAGTAGGATTCAGAAAATTACGCTTTGTAATATATTTTTATTTATTGTCTAAAAAAGATATTTTCAGTTTAAGATTAATGCATTTTCAGGTTAGTAGCCTATCTCCAAGGCACAGCTACAGCAGCAGGCATAGTCCCGCCACCAGGGTTCGATCTGTCCGGATTCCCGGCAGCAGCCAAGCTCCTCCAGCCCCCCGCACCGGGTCCCCCGGCTCCACCCCCCGAGCCGCCTTCTTGAGATCCACAGGTCAAACTTGAACCGTATTCACCGACAAACTTGAACTGTCTTTAAATTTGCAATAGTTTAGGTTAGAATTATAATATTATTATTATATTGTAGCAATTCATATTTAATGTCAGTAAAGGCAAATAATTTTACAGTAAACAAGAAGAAAGAACTCCTGTAGGGCTAGCACGATACGACGCGACTTACGCGAGAGCGACATAAAGCGCGAGATACGGCTACTCTCGCAGAGATGTCGCGCTTCATGTCGCTCTCGCGCAAGTCGCGCTTTTTCGTGCTATGTCATAAAACTTTATTTGTTCAATTGGTTCTTCAATTTATAGGTTCAATCCGAAAACACCAAGTGAATAAAATAATAAATAGGAACCAGTTGGATCATTAAGTGATAAAATTGATTTAAACTAAGTTTCTCTTTCTACCATTTACGCAAATACATAAGTAATTATTGGCTCATTAGAAATATAAGTAGATAAGTCTATTTGCTAGAATTAAATTTATTTATTTGTAAATATATTTGTCACGTAAACAAGTCATAATTAGTTAGGTAAAGAAATTTATTTTATTAGTCTAAAGTTGCATCTGCCGTCAGCAGTATTATTAATTGTAGGGTTTTTATATATGGCTACAATATTTATTGTACTTAAAAAAGCGAGGTAGTCAATTAATAACCTAAGTTAGAAGAAGAAGAAGAAGTAAAGTTATACTTAAGATAGAAAGACGTGTGTCAAGATATTAAGTAGAATGTAATTTTTTCTTATCAATATTTTACATAATTTATAATCTTGGGTAGTTATGATTGTCTATGTTTCATTGTATATTACCATAAGACCGAACGGAGTCAATAGAGCCCTAAGGGAGAATAGATACATACTAGTAAAGTAACATTTATTACACTATCATTGAATATTATCTTATTTTTAATATTTAAAATAAACCTCATTGAATTAGACAAGAGTAACTAACACAATTCACCCCGCATTTTGTCCAAATTCACATAATTTTAGTGTTAGGTTCTATCGAAGGCTCTCTTCGCGATGTAAACTAAACTTGCCTGCTAGTGCTCAGTTGAATAGCATATATTATCTTATAGTATTATGTATTAGGTAGTTGACTGCAAACCTAAAGTAGTTATTTGGTATCGAAATCAGAATAAATTTTCATTCCAAAACCTTTATTATATTATTATATTAAATAAGCTTTTTTTTAATATTTCACGTGTTTACGTGTTTACTTTTCAAATTCTTATTCTGTTTACGTTACCAAACTATCTGTTCAAAGGTTTGCAATCACCTTGTATACATTTTGTCCTTGTGTAACCTACGTAGGGTACCTAAATGTTTAAAATATTATTAGTACTATAAAATATTCGGTATTAATATACTTAATGAAACCAATTTTTGCATAAAATTAGTAATAAATAATGCTTTATTTATTTAACTCAATGTAACCATAATCTAATTTTATTTTTTCAATGTCCGTACATATACAGCCTTCTGTGTAATAGCTCAGAGCGTGGTCGACTTGGTGGAGGTACTTTACTCCAAATATTATAATTATGCTGGCGGTTATTCCAAAGAGAGATTTTTAAGCGCAGCAATTAAGGTGCGAATTAAAAGATTGACCACTTAATTTTATTACCTGTTGGTAATAAAATCTGAATAAGTAATCAATCAAATTAAGTTGTTCATATATACTTTTAAGTTGTTCATTTTAAAGAGTAGGTACCTGCCGCAGCGACTTATTCTGCTCTAATTCCTAGAGCATTGAGGCATAATTACATGTTGTGTTAAACATGTTGCTTAAAAGTCAAAGCACTTTTCTAGACGTCCATAAAGGTGCATCAGAAGTAAACGAATCGAGCCTTTTCAGGAATATTGAATATTGTACAGTCAATTGGTTATTTGCTAATAATTTTGTAGTATTTATATATCATCATAAATAGAGTTGGCTACGTTTATTAAAATTTATATCTTTATCCAAAAATCTATACACATTATGTGAACACAGACACACACAAAAGCGAGCTCGCATTCGCACTGGCACTACTCATTACTTTTATATTATACTGAAGCATTTTTCCTGAAAAGACTGGAAATGGCGTTTAAGTCTAGTTATGATCAGATTTTTCTTAAATAGATAGTTACACGAGTAGATAGACTAGTAATTAAGATAATTTCACTCTCTATAATAAAAGAGTACATAGAGAGCGACTGTGGATCCACGTGCCAAAAGAAGTAGTTAGTAGTATTTTAATGTATTACTCGTACCTAGAAGTATAAAATAACTGTGGAATTTATTTATTTAATAGCTGGTATTTATGACGTTTATAAAGGAAAGATATGTAAGATTGTGGTCAGAAGTGGAATGGATTATGATAATCAACGATAACATAGTAATGTATGACATATTGTGTTTTTGTTGAAATTTGAAACTAGGGCCTTTGCGGCTGCCTCCCAAATGCCGAATGGTAGTACAGCTAGCGTGTAGTCGATGCGCAGTCGCGCCTACTGCATCCAAACTACTTTTATCTTGCATTCCAACCGCTGTTCTGCAGTTGCGATTCAATCGGAATGCTGCTTGTGTGAGTTGACATTTAGTCGTTTTTCATGTAAATTTTAAAACACCTATTTTGTATACTTTATCGACCGGTTGCTCTTGAATCTTATATGTATAATTAGGATCATAAACTGGCATCTTTGATATTACAAATTTCAACTCAATTATTAACTTATTCTTTGGGTTTGTAGATGTGGTTCATCACACGAATTTAGATAAAATTATTTTATATTTATTTTACATTCACATACATTAAGGGTCGTATTCCGGAACTCTACTCAATACTCAAGTCAGGACTTGAGTATTGCAGTGAGCACTGAAAATCATACTCAAATCCTTGCCATTAGGGTCGTATTTCCAGTGCTTGAAATCATACTCAAGTCTGCTCAAATCCTGACTTGAGCATTGAGTAGAGTTCTGGAATACGACCCTAAGTGGCCCAAGACTCCTGATCCTCTAAATGAACTTTTGGCTCAGAGCATAAATAAAGTTAATATTTACCTAGTGAGTTGAAAATTGATTTTAGTATAACTTAGTGACCTAAAAAAATGTAGTATTTTTCAGCAAAACTCTAACCCTTTTCTGCTGCATATGTAATTGCTCTAAGAACCAAAAAGTCTGTTAGAGGTCAAATATGTAGGGACACGGACTGTACTTATTTTAAACAAAGCGATATCAATACTATCCGTTGTGTCTGGGCGCACCATTTCAGTTGTTGACCGATTGTTTTAGTTGTTGATCGATCTCTGTCGTTGCTCAAGTTCCAAATTTTTATCATGGTTCGGTTGTGTTTCTGTCTGATTTCACGACAATTAATATCAACGTCTAGTCGGTAACGCAAAAACAAACCTGTATAATTTTGTAATATTGCAAAGTTAAATCCTGTACAACTGCCTTAAGATTTCAAATAAGGTTACATATAAATTAAATACTTACTCGTAGATTGTACATATATTATTACTTCAAATAAATTCGATAACGAAACTTCTTAAAAGGTTTAGAAGCGTACATCATAAGAATTTACCTGGAAACAAATTGAACTGAAAATCAGCTGTCATTTTCCATGACGGCGGTTGCAGCGCAGCATATAGAATTGTCGTTTTTATACTTTACTTCTGAGTGCCATTACAGGTTGCAGCAAATGTGCACAACACAATAATTTAAAACAATTATTTTAGGGTCTTTTTTATAATATAAAATAAAATCGTCTCTACATGTATCTTAAATATTCAATAAAGTATTACAGAGTAAACCTTCGTTCATTGTATGAACACAACCTTTTTCTAAACTTCAAGTAGAAATATATAAACGCCCATTTTTGAAGATGTAAATTTAAAAACTAATCTAAAATGTGATTGTTAGCAATAATTACAACTATGTGATTTGAGATATAATTATATTATAGCGTATTATAAATATTGTAGTTTCATTATTGAATAGTAGGTAGTCCGGGGGCCTGTCACAACCTCTTAACACAATATTACTTTAACCTTACATTGACTTTTCGTACCATAACGCGCTTGAAGTAAGCTTATTGTAAAGTTAAAACTAATGTAAAACTATGAAGTTTTTTTGGCAGCTTTGTGACTATTCATTCACTCTGGGAGCCTACCACAACCTCTTAAAACAATATTACTTCAACCTTACATTGACTTTTCGTACGTAACGCACTTGAAGTAAGCTTAATGTAATGTTAAAACTATGATGTTTTATTGGCAGCTTTGTGACTATTCATTCACTATTCATACCATGACGTGACTTTAACATTAAAGTTATATTATTCTTATGTCAAATTTAGCTATCTTAAAATAGTTACATGGATGCAATGGAAACAATATTATTTTCAGTTTTATTGTCTTAATATTGATTTGTAATGATTCAAAGTTAAGTTGAACTTATTTATTTACATATATCTCTTCAATATTTTGTTTATTTTTTGTTTATTAGAACATAGTAAATAATTTTTCGTTAAACAAAAATACGCGAAGTTTATTTCGTAAAATTATAACCGCGCCATCTCTAAGCTCCTTGACGAAACTAACAGTTGACACTAGACTATAGTTCCGAATTGAATACGTGACTATCAAGACTCAGCTTGTTTTATTTATTTTTGTTCATGAAAATGCGGAATAATTATTAAAAACAACATAATTTTAATAGATTGTATTATTACATACTTTTCTTTTCTTAACTGTCAAAATTCTCTGAATGTAAATACCATTAAGTACTTAAACATTATACTACGATAACACGATTCGGAACATCAAAAAAGAAAGAGATGGCATTATATTTATCTATATATATATACATATATATATATATATATATATATAATCCAATCCAATTCCAATACTTATAATATATATATATATATATATATATATATATATATATATATATATATAGTTATATAGCTATGTAGTTATCTCTTTCCTATTTTTGTAAGGAATAGACAATATTGGGAAATCATTCGTTCTTTCAATCACTCTATCAATAATACATTACTTGGTTGACATGTTTGTCATGGTACGAATATGAGTAATATTATAATACGCTTGCTTTAAGCTTACATTGAAATAAGATTGTTTTTAGAAAGGTTATGGTAGGCCCTG